CCATCAGGTAATGTGTTTTGCATGCTTATGCAGTTTTATGAGTGTTATGTGTATTGGAACTTATACATTACTTTTTTCATGTTTGTATGCAATTACATAACTGTTTAATATATGTGTTAGTTCATATACTTTTTTATTTATTTCCATAATAGCAACAATATCTGCAGGACCATCAGGTAATCTGTTTTGCATACTTATGCAGTTTTGTGGGTGTTATGTGTATTTGTGTAGGTATATATTTAAACATTGCATATCCTTATTTTTACATTACTTTTTTATTTATTAATTATTATATTTATTTTTTTTGTCATAATTTTTTTTTTTTGAAGTCTAAATAGTTTTAAATAATATTTTTATTGGTTGTTTTGTGCAGTATTTTTTTCAAATTTATTTCTTTTTTTGTTTTTGTTTTTTAGCATCGCATCAAGATTTCCTGCGATATCGCTCCCAGCACCCAGGTCCGATATCTCAAAGATCTTTCTACCGGTGGAGTCAATATGGGGGAGATGATCCCTCCTTTAGATGGAGGAGACAAGCCCCATATGACACCACTGGTAGAAGGAGGGGTGCTGGAAAGCGGTTTAACTCTTTTAATTTCTACCAGTAGCTTTTTTAAACTACTGGTAGAATTATCTTCTTTTTTATTTATAAAGAAAATTGACTTTTTAAAAATATGTTTTTTTTAATTTCGCAATTTTTTATTATTTTAATTTATATATTTTTACTATTTTATTTTTTTGATTTTTAATTCTGTTTTTAAATCCTAAACTTACAAAGAACTCTTATGTTATAAAAGTTTTTAATAATTTGTCTATAAGTTTTTTTATTAATTTACATTTTTACATCTTTTTATCCTCATTTTCAGTTTTTATAATACTAAATTTTCTTTTGTATTAACTTTTATTTGTTAAGTGTTATATAGTTTTTGAAAGATTTGGTAAATATATTTAAAGTTTTTCTTTTTCTATGATATCTGTTTAATATGTCTAATATATGCACTATACACCTATTAATCTCTTTACATTATTCTCTTTAGATATATTATAAAATAGTATTTAGAATCAGTTGTCAGCCACATGTGGTCTATATGATGCAACATGTTTGCAATTGTTGGCATGTGATTTAAAAATATGTAACTAATTTTGCTTTTTAATATTACCATTAATATGACTTTTAAAATAATAAAATTTTTTATTTGTTTTAAAAAATACTGGTTTATTACTTACAATATAGTATGTTATTACAAGATACTTTTGGCTTTTTCTCTGTTTCAAACCAGTTTAGTTATATCTTTTGTTCACAAATTTTATTAGACGCTATACACATAGTTTCATAGGTTTAAACTGATAAATAGCACTTTTTTGTTTTTGTTCATTTTAGATTAGTATAGCATAAAATTAATAAGATAAAGTTTTATCAAACATAAATAATTTCTCAATTATGTCAACTAACTTAAGAGCTGAAACTAGAAGAAATCGTCGAAATGAGAGAAATGAGGCTAGACGAGAAGAAATTATTCGTTGCCAAAATGAGAGAAAAGAGGCCAGACGAGAAGCAAGTAATCGTCGCCAAAATTAAAGAAATGAGGCTAGACGTAAAGAAGTTAATCGTCGCCAAAATGAAAGGAATAAGGCTTGACGTAAAGAAGTTAATCGTCGCCAAAATGAAAGGAATGTGGCTCGACGTGAAGAAGTTAATTGTCGCCAAAATGAAAGAATTGAGGCTAGACGAGTATTATTTAGGCGTGGAATGCATTGCATAGCAAGAAATAATGTTTTTATAGAGAGTAATTACCTAGGAGAAATGAACCATAATTGTCAGTATTGTGGTGCTTAAAATTTTTTAAATGAAACACATTTTTTGTGCTGCCATTCAGGAAAGGTTGTCTTACCTCCACTTTCACCTTATCCACCGCTGATGGTTGATTTAATGACAGGCAACCATGTTGATCTTGCTTTGAATCAAAATTTTTTCAAGCATATACGAAAATATAATGCCTGTCTATCTTTTGCTTCATTCATAGCCACAACAGATCCTCCGTCAAATCGTGGTCCACCCTGTTTTAGAATTAGTGGGCAAATTATGCATCGTATTGGTAATCTAAGATATCAGCAAGGGGATCCACCTGCTTATTGTCAGTTATATGTTTATGATCCTAATACTGCTTTAAACTTTCGAATGGAGCAAAATGATTGTTGCATACGTGAGTTAATGGAACTTTTGCAGACTATAATTAATCAGGAGAACCCATATGCGCTTGCATTTAAAAACATGGCAGAAGTTAAAGATGCAGAAATTCGTCAAGCTGCTATAGAAGGTCGACCGATTTCTGTTGTCAAAATGTCGTTGCTTGAGGGTTGTGATAGACGTCAATACAATCTTCCATCACATGAAGAGGTTGCCATTGTATTTGTAGGAAATGATGGTGCTCCACCTCCATCTAGAGAAATTGTTATTTATCCTCGAGGTCAACCCTTCAAAACAATTTCAAGTATGTCTGCAAATCTAGATCCAATGATATATCCAATATTTTTTCCAAGAGGTGATGCAGGATGGCATGATCAACTAGAGCACAATCCTGACCGAGCAACACGTGTTCGAAATCGTGTTACTTTGTCTCAGTACTACAATTATAGGCTTTCTATTAGACAAACGTTCAGTTCTATATTTTAAGGTAAGAAACTTTTTCAACAGTATGCTGTTGATGCATATGTCAAGATTAAAGGACAGCGCCTTGCTTTTATCAGAAATAACCAAAACAAACGTAAAAGTGAACAATACAATACATTACATGAGTATGTAAATAATGTTGCAAATAACCTTAATGTAAGACCAGGTCGTGTTGTTATACTACCATCCTCATATGTTGGAAGTCCAAGAGCTTTAAAAGAAAATTTTGAAGATGCAATGGCAATTATAAAGAAATATGGTAAACCAGATCTTTTTATTACTTTTACCTGTAATTCAAAATGGAGAGAAATTACAGAAAATTTAAATCCAGGTGAGAGCGCAACTGACAGGCCTGATTTAGTTTGTCGCGTATTTAAGATGAAACTTAAATGCTTCTTAGGTGATATTTTTAAACATGGATTCTTAGGCAAAGTTGTAAGTCATGTACAGGTTATTGAGTTTTAAAAACGTGGTTTGCCACATGTGCATATTTTATTACACTTTGTAAACGATGATAAGCTAGAAACAGCAGAGGATATTGATAGTTTAATATCAGCTGAAATTCCAGATCAAACTGTTGATCCTGAACTTTTTCAAATTGTAAAAACATGTATGATTCATGGACCATGTGGGATTTAAATCCCAATTCTCCTTGCATGAAAGATGGAGTTTGCACAAAAAAATTCCTAAAGAGTTTAATCCTTGCACTGTTGCAATTTTCAATGGTTATCCTAACTACAGGCGTTTAGATAATGGTAGAGTAGTCATTATAAAAGGTAACCAAGTTGATAATCGATGGGTCGTACCCTATAACCCCTGGTTATCAAAAAATTAATAAGCCCACATTAATGTTGAAGCTTGCATGTCTATTAAGTCAGTGAAGTATTTATACAAATATGTCTATAAGGGGCATGATTGTGCAAATGTGGTAATTAATGAAAGTGTTGACCATGATGAAATTAACACATTTTTAGACTTTCGCTTTGTTTCCGCCCAGAGGCTCTTTGGCGAATATATGAGTATTCCATAAGTGATATGTCACATACTATTATCCGCCTTCAAGTCCACCTTCCTGATAATCAGAGAGTATATTTTAACGAAGGAGAAGAACAAGTAGCTATAGATAGTGCAGCACAGTTTGACACTCACCTAACCGCTTGGTTTAAGTTAAATGCTGAAAATAATGAAGCACGTTAGTATTCTTATGTTGAAATTCCATATCACTTTGTTTTTGGTAAAAATTGCATGTGGAAAGTAAGACAAAGAGGTAGTGATAAGGTGGTTGTTCGAATGTATAAAGTCAGTTCATTTTGCGAATTATTTTTTCTCAGATTGTTACTGTTGCATGTAAAAGGTGCTAAGTCTTTTGAGGATTTGCGTACTGTTCATGGTACTGTTTTTAATACATTTCGTGAAGCATGTTATCATTTAGGTTTATTGCAAGATGACATTAAGTGGAGAAATACATTAACTGAAGCTGCTGCAACTCGGATGCCTAAACAAATTAGGCTACTGTTTTCCATCATATTAACTTTATGTGAACCTGATGATCCTTTACACCTTTGGAATACATTTAAAAATAATATGGTTGAGGATTACATACACCATTTAATGCCAGTCGTACTTGCTGAGCAGGCAGCTCTTCGTCAAATTGAATCTATAATTAATCAGAGTGGTAAAACCTTAGCTGATTATAATTTGCCAGCTTTAGATCAGTTTTTAGATAATGTCCCAGAAAATGATGATGAAGATGTTCAGGTGTTTATTGATGAAGCAAACCAAGTTAGATCATTATTGAATGATAATCAACGTAATGTAGCTGATGCGATTCTTGCTGCACTAAGTGTGGAACCTACTAATGAAAATAAGCATTCAAGGTTGTTTTTTATGGATGGGCCTGCCGGTAGTGGTAAAACATTTACTTACAATTATTTAATTTCTGAAACACAGAGCAGGCATATTAGAACTGCAACAGCTGCATGGACAGGAATAGCTGCAACTCTTCTCAAAAATGGGTGCACAATGCATGGCTTATTCAAACTTCCTGTTCCAATTTTGGAAACTAGCACATGTAATGTAACTCCAAACTCTATTCATGGTAGATTCCTGAGACAAATCAGTTTGTATTTACTTGATGAAGCATCTATGATACCCAAATATGCTTTGAGTGTTAACAACTTTCCTTTTGGTGGTAAGGTTATTCTTATGGGTGGAGACTTCAGACAAATACTTCCAGTTGTGAAGCGAGGTCGACCAGCAGAAGTTATAGAATCATGTTTAAAATGTTCTGAACATTGGCAATTGTGCAAAGGTTCTCATTAACTGTAAATATGAGGGTTCAGATAGAAGAAGAGGAATTTTCTCAATGGCTTTTAAAGCTTGGAAGTGGAACATTACCTGCCAAGCCTGAAGATCCTTTGCGAGGGTGTATTGAAATACCTGAGCAGTGCTTTCTCAGTGATAATGAATCTATTGTGGAGAAGATTTTCGGTGGTGCAGAAGAAGCTGATTATGCAAAACGTGCTATTTTAACGCCAACAAATGTTGATTCATTGGCAATAAATGAAGAAGTCCTTCATTGTTTACCCGGTGATGTGAAAACATATTTAAGTTCAGATAGCATTAATACTGATGATCTTAATGAAATTAATAACTTTCCAGTCGAGTTTTTAAATAGTTTGACTCCATCAGGTATGCCTGTTCATTGCCTAAAATTAAAAATTGGTGCTGTTATAATGCTACTTAAAAATTTAGATCTCAAAGGTGGACTTTGTATTGGAACCCGTTTGACGGTGCGTGCATTACACAACAATTATATTGATGGTGAGGTTTTAACAGATGTATCAGCTGGTAACAGGGTATTTGTTCCTCGAGTTCAATCAGCTCCATCAGATGCAATTTTACCTTTTACACTTAAACGCCGTCAGTTTCCAGTTAGGTTAGCATACTCAATGACCATAAAGAAAAGTCAAGGTCAAACATTTGAAAAAGTTGGTGTTTATCTCAAAAAGCCTTGCTTTTCACACGGCCAATTATATGTTGCATGTTCAAGAACAAGATCATTTAATAGTTTTTTTTTCAAAGTTGATAAACATCCATTACAAGGTATGTCATTTAACAAACATTACACAAATAATGTTGTCTTTACATATGTTCTTAATTTATAATTTTGACAAGTATATTATGTGTTATATGTGTTTTATATTTTTTGTATGTTTTTTTTTTTTTTTTTTTGCTATATGTGTATATAAATGAATGTGTTTATATGCGTTATTTATATTTATGTGCTTAAGTTTATACAAGTTTATATTAAGTTGTTTCCATGTGAAAAGTGGTGTTACTTGGCAACGTGTAGTGCAAGATTGTGATTCTTGCTAGCCAAGCGGTGTTACTAATTAGTGGTGTTACTTGGCACTTAATGCCAAGCGGTGTTACTAAATTGTGGTGTTATTGGCAGCGTTTAGTGCCAAGCGGTGTTACAAGTGTTGAGCTAGGTTGTGTTGTCTAGCTTTTTTAATTATTCTGGAAACACATAATCTGAATATTTTGTGTTATGTGCAAATGTGTTATGTACAAATATTTGATGCTATGTGTATTCAGTAACATAGGTAGGGTCTTTTGATGCTTCAGATAGCACTTTCAACCAAACTTAAGTGTATTCACGTTTATAGAATTAAAATACTTTGCAAAAAATTGATGTTGTTAAAGCTTAGGAACAAATGTTTAAAAAAAATGTTTTTTCTAACCTGAATTTTTTTAGACATAACAAAGTTAAACTCTTTAACAGCTTCTAAATATATATCTGAAACAACAAAAATCCTGCCTACACTACTGGTGTTATTGTTTGTCATCCTGTAATGTTGTTGTGATGTTTTGTGTTTATAGACAGCTTGGCTTACCTTCACGTTGGTGTCTATCGTTAAAAAGGATTATTGAATAGCTTCATTAATGAAACTTACTCCTAATCATTCACTAAAAGCCAAGAAACATTTTTAAAAAAATGCCTAATTTTTTTGTGTCAGTAAGAATTTTTATCTTTAGCAATGCTGATAAAACTGAGTTTTTTAAAAAAAAAGAGTATTTCCAGCCTTCCAACCAAATATTAGAGACTTTTACAAAAGCACTCTCACAAAGTAAGTGTCTAATATTTATTTAATATTACTAAATTTCGTTTCGTATTTTTCATTTTTCAATTGAATTAACATAAAACAAATAAATGTGCATTCAGTGTTATCAATAATGATTTTATTTCATTTTTAGATAATGCTTTTATAATCAATTTAAAAGTCTTTAAAATCGTTAATCATTTTCTAAAGACGAAGAAGAAGAATCATCAATCTTCATACCATTTAATAAAGCTATTTTAATAAAACGCAATACAAATTGTTGTAAATTAGTATTTGAATAATTTTCACGTTGTTACCTTAGTTTGCAGTTTCCTATCACTTTGTATTGAATTAACTAAATCCAATATTACAGTTCCTTTTATCAAGCACTTCACATTTTCTATTTTTGTTTTATGCAGAAAAACAGATCAAGTTAATTTATTTGACTTGCCTAGCTACTTTTTTTACAGGCCTAGCCACAGTGAGTGTGCATAAATCAACAGAGGATTTGGGTTTTGGCAGGTTGTCTTGAACTAAATGATTTACCTTCTTTATGTTAAGCTCTAAATATAAATATACGGAAAAGGTGCATATGTGAGTTTTTTTTTTCTTGCATATAATCTATTGTTCACTAAAAAATATTAGAGGGAGAAATAGAGATAAGGTTAATGTGGAATAGAGTTTGTCTTTTTAAGTGAAAAAATATTTTATAATCTATCTATCTTCTATATAATAATGCCGAACTTAATAGTAGTGTTAGTAGAAAGAGTCGCAGCACTTTTTTTAGAAGAAAACGTGTATGCAAATATATAACGTACGTAATTAAGTAATAATAAAACATACTGAAACATTTTTCAAGTTTTATAGTTTGACTTTGACTTAAAAATTGCATTGCGTCAACCTCTCCTTACTATTTGATCTACAGCAATTCTGTTAAAAACAATTTTAGGCCGGCGTCTGTTGCAGAAAAAGCTTTCAAAAAAAAGACGTTCGTTATACACATTTAGTAACTAAATTTTGTTGAAGTTATTTTGAAGAGCTCAACAAACTAATTACAAAAAAAAAAGTTCCCAGATTTTTATGGTCCCAATAAATATTATAATTTGATAATTAAGTATTTAAGTATTTAATTAATAAATATTTAAATATGATAGTTAAGGTCAAAGTTTTGCAGCATATAGAAACCATCCTATAGTTTTGACCAAGACGGTTTCTACTAAAAAAAATAAAAATGCCCTTTGGTTTTTTTTTAATAACGTCTAAATCAATAATAATTTCTACTTCAAATTTAGTCAGTGTATTCTTTAGTAATTTACTAAAAGTATTTGAAAATTTGGATGCTTTTTGATATAGGTAATTTAGGTTCCAGACCTTTTTATTTTTGATCTGTTCCTTAGGAGACTTACCATTTGCCGTTTTTATGCAATATTTTAAAAGAGAACTGTATTTAAAACAGAAATATTATTATTAACCAAATTTCTAATATATATTATTGCTGCTGATGTTTATCTTGCAGTTCAAAATCAAAAAGTATTAAATATCAAGTGATTTTTATTACAACTTATAAATCTAATCTAATCATTATCAGACTCAGACTCGTATGATTCATCTGATTGGTTATCATCATCCGCTTCTTGATGGTCACCACCATGATTTCTGCAACCATTACATTTGCAAAGGTCTGTGCAAACTACACCAGCTTTATTACAAGAACATCTTTTAGTGGAACAATCACGGCAATAACAGTGAACAAAATCAAGCAACGAATCGGGTGCAGCAGGCATTTCCATCCAAGATATGGCAATTGAACCTTGATCATTAAACCAACCATTTCCAAAAGGACTTGGTGGGTTAATCACTGCTATATATGATCGTTTTCTGATAAAAGCTTCATAATTAGCTCTTTTAATGTGTTGAACAAGCGAATCTTTATTTGGTGGTAACGCTTCCTCGCTAAATTTACCAGATTTGAATAATATGTAACGAGCGGAATTAACTGATTCTTCTTGTTCAGCCCCGTATAAATCACAGACATATGTTTCCAGTATATTTACTAGTTCATCAGATGGTGGTACTGAATCACCTAAAGTTTTAAAAGCATCTAAGTACTTCGCTTTCTTCCGTAGGACTTTGAAAGCGATTGCTTTTCCTTTTCCATAAAATGCACTTGTTGAATCGCAACCTTAAATACCAAAGAAAAAATATAAACAGTTTAAATTAATTTCAACTGTTTAAATTAATTTCAAAATCTGAATTCACCTCTAGTTTTTTATCCCGTCTAAACACTACAGTACTGTTAAAATAATATCTATAGAAAGAAAAATCGTCACCTGTAAACAAATGAAATCCGGTCATAGCAATCGACAAATCATTACCGAGATCAGATTCACATTTTTTTATATTGATAATGCGGCGTTTGTTACCAACACCAGTATCGAAGTATGCTGTTGACGGAAGACAAGTTGACAGAGCAAATACAAATACATCAGTATCAGGACTTCTAATTACAATGTTTTGGTAGTCCAGCGATGCATGTGATGCATGTAAAACTAACCTTGTATCTGCTTCTTCGTGGTCACTGGCAAGCTCAGGGACTTCAGTTACTATAATATGGTTGTCAATGGACTGAATTTTGTAACATAAGTTCTTTTGTGTGATGTAGAGAATTATATTGCCAAGAATTTGTGGATCACATTCACACCAAGACATGAATAAAAAATTAATTAGCTCCTCTTTATTTCGTCCAAGGGACATAAATTTTTTCCACTGCTTTGGTACATTTTGTGTACCACTGTAGATGGTAAATGCTTGTGTACCTGATTGTGCACGTTTTTCTCTTTCAGCGTTCTTAGTGCTAATTAATGGGTAGCGATCAGATACGAAATCAACACGAGATGATTTATGAAAAGTAGCTAATCTTATTACTTGTTGAAGTATTTCATTAGCTAGATGATTAAATGTATTGGGTATTGTATTTATCATTTGTAAAATTGCCATAGCATCAATAAGTAGTGCATTTTCTGCAGGAGTAGTGGTCACAATAAAATCATTACATGTTGCTTCAATAACGTTTAGCAACTTAGCCTTGCACGTTTTAACTAGTGAGCCTGTGATTGTTGATAAAGACATTGGATACACTCTCAATGAATATTTTAGTATCTCTTTTACGTCGACATCTCTGGCCTTACCAATTAGCACTAGCCTAGCAAACAAATCTCTGTCATTCTTTAACGTAATTAGTTTGCCATTAGAGGACTTAGATTTTGTTAACTTCTTTAGGCTAGCAAATGTTTTTAAACTATTTCGCTTTATTGTCGAAAATATATCAGGATCTTCACACAGGAGTTTCTCATTGACAAAAGAGGTAAACTGTTTATCCCCTATATCATGAGCATTTTGAAGATCAGATTCAATATCAGTGGACGCAACCGAACCTGTTGAGATGTTAAGTAATTCTTTGCTTTCAATTGTAAAAGGATTTATCATTGCATCAATGGCATTCATTACATTTTGAACATTTTCCTCGTCTTTTAGTATTCTAAGCTGATCGAGATCTTTTCTGAACCTAAAGAATTGGTTCATTTGAATACAATTTAATTTAATTTACTATTATTTATTTTTGTAACGTTGCCAAATACAGCAGTTTAACTACAAACCTTTTATTTATACTGATGCCAGCCATCGTTTCGCATTCACTCGTTATTGCAGCTCTATCACTCTGAGCTAAAATCCACCGATGAACTACTCCCTGGTGTAAGGTAGACCCAATAATACCAGCAGTAGTTTTGCAATCGCGATTAGCTGTTTGTTCAATGGCTTGATCACAGGCAACTGATGAGAAACCATATTCAGTCTGCCGTTGGACTGTCCATTGCTTCGATAGTTCGTTTTTAATCCCTATGAGAAGAAATTACTTATTTTTAATCCTATTTAAAGCACCTAGATATCCTTAAAACGCAATAAAGTAGATTTAAATTTTCTACTACAAAATACCGTAACGCCGTGTTACTAAAATTACCAGGATGTGTTTCGTTGATCAACGTCATTTCTAACCAATATGCTGAGAGATACCTAGAATAGTTAACTCGATCATAGCTGAAACACCAAGGTAAAATAGATCTAATAGTTGATAAATGAAGGTTCCAATCACTGCAGCGTGTGGCATTAATGAACAATAATAACAGTTCTACCATTTCGATGAAAGATGACCAGAATGAAAACGTTGGTGACTGTTGATTTGATTCAAAAATAAAATCATCATATCTATATCAAAACAATAATAAAATAAGTGTGAAAATTAGTGCTAAACCAAACGGGAAAAAGTGGCAGTTAAAAGAAAACACTGTTTTTAAAGCAATTCAGAAAATAAAAAGTAAAATACTTCGCAAATATTGATAAGTATTCGTCATTAACTAGATGATCTGTAAATTGGTCGGGAAATTTTTCGCTCAACATAGCAACATTAGTATTAAAGCAATCTTGTTCATTTAAATTCAATGCTTCAACAAATGAACGTAGTCGTAATCGTTGTAAAGCTTCGTATAAGATTTTATAAGCATATACAGCACGGTTATAGTGTTTTCTTCGCAATACTCCATTCAAAGAGCCAGTTGCTACAACACCGGACTCAATAAAAATATCCTGTAAGAAAAAAAATATAAAACTGAAAACAATTTTTAAATAAATTTAAAAATAGTTAAAGTCAAAACAGAAAGCTCTATAGGAGAAATAGAAATATGAATAATATTTCAAATTGGTCGTGTATAGAAGTAATCAAAAGTTACCTGCAAATCGTTTATCTATAGCACTAATGTATGACATTACTGCATGAAAATCACCAATACGGATGATTATACTTTCCATTAACATTGCATTTTTCCATCTGACTTGTTGAGCTTTAGCATATAATGCTTCATCAAATACTACTATCATATGACGTAATCCTAACTTATCTGCTATCGCAATACTTTTCTGAAGAATTTCATTTACTGTGGAAATTTCGGTAACTGGTGCATTAATTACAGGTAAGTAACTTATAATAGATTTATTTAATGGCTTTGCATGAAGAAGTGTTTTGAAGCCTGTCCAGCCAGGAAGCAAAGTATTAGAATCGTTAACTTTACACAGAATATAACCAAAGTTTATTAGTCTTGAAAATGATTGATCTATCAAATGTTCATCTTCTCTAATTGAAAATGGATTTTTTCTATAAGAGCTACTTAATTCTGGTGACTTTTTCTCTCCTAAAATAAACTGTGGTATCTCTATGTAAGGTTTAGGCAATGACCTTTCACTTTTTTTAATATTTTTAACAGATTCTTTTGATTTAACTTTGGAGTTTTCCATTTTCATTTGTATAATAATCCCATTAGCCATGTGCGACGTTCCACTACCTGAGCGAGTTTCCTCTCCAAAGTCAATGTTATCCCATACAAGTGTGGTAAACTGACAATGGTTAACATTTGAACCAATAACAACATCATCATTTATATTTAGTTTAGCCAATCCTGTTTCATGTGATCTAACAACTGAATTCGATACACAGTGCCCAAAACCATTTAGAATACTTATAAGTTTTTTTGACCCCGTAATTTGTCTTGTAGCCATACTGAGTGCTAAATGTTTTGGAGGTAGGTTTTTTCTTTTTGAATGTAAAAAAATAAAGTCCTGCGCAACGCTTAATACTTCTACTCTATCTTTTACATCGAGTTCTACTTTACACTCGAATGTTGGCTCATCAGAAAACCCAAATGTCCATGCTAAAAAGTTAAATAGTGAAGTTGGTACAAACTCATCTGCGCATTTAAAATTCAATTCCGTTGCCTTCGGAGGCCATTTGCAATTCATAGCTGGAACTTGTTTAAGAATATTTTTTAATTCTACTGCTGCAGTATATAATATCTGCAATGAGTTTATAACCGTTTTTTTACTTGAACACGATACTTGATCTCTATGAATTACTTCATCATCAGTGCAATCTGACTCAAAGCTACTGCTATTTTGTTCTCTAGCTGCACTAATTGCTGATTCGATAATTGAGCCAATGTTAAAATTTGAATGATAAACTATCTCACTCATTGCTTTTTTTATTGGTTTGTAAAATACTAAATCTGGAAATTTCCCCCGTACTCTTTTTTTCAACCTCCATTTGTTATATTTGGATGCATCAAGACTTTCTACTGATTTCACAATTTTTACAAATGAAGAAAAGATGTCAGACATAGAAAGACTTTCGCCATCTTCATACAGCTGCTTCTCTATTTGTTTAGATAGCACTAGAAAAGACTGCTCATAAAGACTTTTAGGT